CGCACATCTAGACAGATAAATTGGCGCACATCTAGACAGATATATTGGCGCACATCTAGACAGATATATTGGCGCACATCTAGACAGATATATTGGCGCACATCTAGACTGTGATAAATTGGCGCACATCTAGACAGTGATATACTGACGCACATCTAGACAGATATATTGGCGCACATCTAGACAGATAAATTGGCGCACATCTAGACAGTGATATACTGACGCACATCTAGACAGTGAAAAATTGACGCACATCTAGACAGTGATATATTGGCGCACATCTAGACAGTGATATACTGACGCACATCTAGACAGATATATTGGCGCACATCTAGACAGATATATTGACGCACATCTAGACAGTGATATATTGGCGCACATCTAGACAGTGATATACTGACGCACATCTAGACTGTGATAAATTGGCACACATCTAGACAGTGATATACTGACGCACATCTAGACAGATATATTGGCGCACATCTAGACAGATAAATTGGCGCACATCTAGACAGTGATATATTGAGGCTTAAGTCCCGGCCAGAGTGACGTAATAAGCACGTAAGAAACTTGAGCGATCACGTGACCCTAAAGCCTGGCCATCCGTCATCAACATACCTGGGCTTTACCTGTCAAACCCCCAGGTTAGGCAACTCTCTGATTGAACTCTGGGGGCGGGGAGGGGGGGGGGGGCTGCAGTAACAACACCACAGAGAAAAAAAACTTAGTGTAATTTTCACTGCCCCTCTATGGAGCCTTGATTCTTTTACTGCTATTTAAGAACTCAAAGATTGCATCAGGCTTTGATGCAGTGGGCTGACCCCCAACGTGAACCAAATTACAACGTTTTATTTCATTTTGAGCCAGTTGCCTCTAGGGTTGCACCTTCCGCTCCCTTAGTAAGCCCCTCGGGCCTGAAACAATGTAGGGCTGCACCCTCCCACCCTTGCAGTGTAGATCTGCACCCCACCCTCCCACCCTTCACCCTCTTACCCTTCCCCACCCCACCCTCAGCTCTAGAGGCCGTATATCGTGGAGTCTACCCAATGTTTCACAACCACTTGTTAAGCCTGTTTACTTCATGCATTCGGACTGTTCACGCACTAGTGACGTCACAGTCATGGCGTCCGTGTTCTGCTTGACTGATTTCCCATGATGCTCTGTCTTCACGCTCCACTGGCTGGCTGGGTAGTTGGACAAATGAGCTGAGCACCATGGGGTAACTCATTAAAAGATCCAATCAAATTATTTGATTGTTGCACGCAGCGCGAGCCAAGATGGCTGACGTCCATGACCTTAGTGCACATTCCTCATCTGGAGGGTAACACCCCCACCCCCTGTTGTCTGTCTACCCACCTTTCATGTACACATCCCTCCTGTACCTCACCCCTCATGTACCCCCTACCTGTACCCACCCCCTCCTGTGCCCCATCCCTCAAGTACCCACCCTCATATACCCACCCTCATATACCCACCCGCATACACCCACCCCTCATACACCCACCCTCATGCACCCACCCCTCATGCACCCACCCTCATACACCCACCCCTCACCTGTCCACCACCCCTCACCTGTCCACCACCCTTCACCTGTCCACCACCCCTCACCTGTCCACCACCCCTCACCTGTCCACTACACCTCACCTGTCCACCACCCCCCACCTGTCCACCACCCCTCACCTGTCCACCACCCCTCACCTGTCCACCACCCCTCACCTGTCCACCACACCCTACTGTCCACCACCCCCACCCTCACCTGTCCACCACCCCCACCCCTCACCTGTCCACCACCCCTCACCTGTCCACCACCCTTCACCTGTCCACCACCCCTCACCTGTCCACCACCCCTCACCTGTCCACTACCCCTCACCTGTCCACCACCCCCCACCTGTCCACCACCCCTCACCTGTCCACCACCCCTCACCTGTCCACCACCCCTCACCTGTCCACAACCCCCTACTGTCCACCACCCCCACCCTCACCTGTCCACCACCCCCACCCCTCACCTGTCCACCACCCCTCACCTGTCCACCACCCCTCACCTGTCCACCACCCCTCACCTGTCCACCACCCCTCACCTGTCCACAACCCCCTACTGTCCACCACCCCCACCCTCACCTGTCCACCACCCCCACCCCTCACCTGTCCACCACCCCTCACCTGTCCACCACCCCTCACCTGTCCACCACCCCTCACCTGTCCATACCCCTCACCTGTCCACACCCCTCACCTGTCCACACCCCTCACCTGTCCACACCCCTCACCTATCCACCACCCCTCACCTGTCCACCCCTCACCTATCCACCACCCTTCACCTTTCCACCCCCCACCTGTCCACCACCCCTCACCTGTCCACCCCCTCACCTGTCCACCACCCCTCACCTATCCACCCCCAACCTGTCCACCACCCCTCACCTGTCCACCACCCCTCACCTATCCACCACCCCTCACCTGTCCACCACCCCTCACCTGTCCACCACCCCTCACCTGTCCACCCCCCACCTGTCCACCACCCCTCACCTGTCCACCACCCCTCACCTGTCCAACACCCTTTACCTGTCCACCACCCCTCACCTGTACACCACCCCTCACCTGTCCACAACCCCTCACCTGTCCACCACCCCTCACCTGTCCACCACCCCTCACCTGTCCACCACCCCTCACCTGTCCACCACCCTTCACCTGTCCACCACCCCCACCCCCACCTGTCCACCACCCCCACCCCCCACCTGTCCACCACCCCCACCCCCCACCTGTCCACCACCCCTCACCTGTCCACCACCCCTCACCTGTCCACCACCCCTCACCTGTCCACCACCCCTCCCTGTCCACCACCCCTCACCTGTCCACCACCCCCACCCCCCACCTGTCCACCACCCCCACCTGTCCACCACCCCACCCCCCACCTGTCCACCACCCCCACCCCCACCTGTCCACCACCCCACCCCCCACCTGTCCACCACCCCTCACCTGTCCACCCCCACTTGTCCACCACCCCTCATCTGTCCACCACCCCTCACCTGTCCACCACCCCCACCTGTCCACCACCCCTCACCTGTCCACCCCCCACCTGTCCACCACCCCTCACCTGTCCACCACCCCTCACCTGTCCACCACCCCTCACCTGTCCACCACCCCTCACCTGTCCACCACCCCTCACCTGTCCACCACCCCTCACCTGTCCACACCCCTCACCTGTCCACACCCCTCACCTATCCACCACCCCTCACCTGTCCACCCCTCACCTATCCACCACCCTTCACCTGTCCACCCCCTCACCTGTCCACCACCCCTCACCTGTCCACCACCCCTCACCTGTCCACCACCCCTCACCGGTCCACCACCCCTCACCTGTCCACCACCCCTCACCTGTCCACCACCCCTCACCTGTCCACCACCCCTCACCTGTCCACCACCCCTCACCTGTCCACCACCCCTCACCTGTCCACCACCCCTCACCTGTCCACCACCCCTCACCTGTCCACCACCCCTCACCTGTCCACCACCCCTCACCTGTCCATCACCCCCCACCTGTCCACCACCCCTCACCTGTCCACCATGTCCACCACCCCCCACCTGTCCACCACCCCTCACCTGTCCACCACCCCTCACCTGTCCATCACCCCCACCTGTCCACCACCCCTCACCTGTCCACCACCCCTCACTTGTCCACCACCCCTCACCTGTCCATCACCCCTCACCTATCCACCACCCCTCACCTGTCCACCCCTCACCTATCCACCACCCTTCACCTGTCCACCCCCTCACCTGTCCACCACCCCTCACCTGTCCACCACCCCTCACCTGTCCACTACCCCTCACCTGTCCACCACCCCTCACCTGTCCACCACCCCCTACTGTCCACCACCCCCACCCTCACCTGTCCACCACCCCCACCCCTCACCTGTCCATACCCCCCACCTGTCCACACCCCTCACCTGTCCACACCCCTCACCTATCCACCACCCCTCACCTGTCCACCCCTCACCTATCCACCACCCTTCACCTTTCCACCCCCCACCTGTCCACCACCCCTCACCTGTCCACCCCCTCACCTGTCCACCACCCCTCACCTATCCACCCCCAACCTGTCCACCACCCCTCCCTGTCCACCACCCCTCACCTGTCCACCACTCTTCACCTGTCCACCACTCTTCACCTGTCCACCACCCCCACCCCCCACCTGTCCACCACCCCCACCCCCACCTGTCCACCACCCCACCCCCCACCTGTCCACCACCCCCACCCCCACCTGTCCACCACCCCACCCCCCACCTGTCCACCACCCCTCACCTGTCCACCCCCACTTGTCCACCACCCCTCATCTGTCCACCACCCCCCACCTGTCCACCACCCCTCACCTGTCCACCCCCACCTGTCCACCACCCCTCACCTGTCCACCACCACTCACCTGTCCACCACCCCTCACCTGTCCACCACCCCTCACCTGTCCACCACCCCTTACCTGTCCACCACCCCTCACCTGTCCACACCCCTCACCTGTCCACACCCCTCACCTATCCACCACCCCTCACCTGTCCACCCCTCACCTATCCACCACCCTTCACCTGTCCACCCCCTCACCTGTCCACCACCCCTCACGTGCCCACCACCCCTCACCTGTCCACCACCCCTCACCGGTCCACCACCCCTCACCTGTCCACCACCCCTCACCTGTCCACCACCCCTCACCTGTCCACCACCCCTCACCTGTCCACCACCCCTCACCTGTCCACCACCCCTCACCTGTCCACCACCCCTCACCTGTCCACCACCCCTCACCTGTCCACCACCCCTCACCTGTCCACCACCCCTCACCTGTCCACCACCCCTCACCTGTCCACCACCCCTCACCTGTCCACCACCCCTCACCTGTCCACCACCCCTCACCTGTCCACCACCCCTCACCTGTCCACCACCCCTCACCTGTCCAACACCCCTCACCTGTCCACCACCCCCCACCTGTCCACCACCCCTGACCTGTCCACCTTGTCTTGCAGGAGACAGAGAGGAAGCGCGAGGCCTTCATGCAACTCCTGGCCCAGAGGTACCCGCAGTACGCCGACAAGATCAAGGGCGGCAACCAGTCCCCGTCACCTGAACACGTCAGCAAGGTGAGTCGTCCTTGACCTTCATGTCTCAGTGAGCACCACTTTAAGAACCCGTCTCAATTTAAAATCTTACGATGAGCCTCTTTCAGAACGAACCCCTAACAGAACGAACCCCTAACAGAACGAACCCCTAACAGAACGAACCCCTAACAGAACGAACCCCTAACAGAACGAACCCCTAACAGAACGAACCCCTAACAGAACGAACCCCTAACAGAACGAACCCCTAACAGAACGAACCCCTAACAGAACGAACCCCTAACAGAACGAACCCCTAACAGAACGAACCCCTAACAGAACGAACCCCTAACAGAACGAACCCCTAACAGAACGAACACCTAACAGAACGAACACCTAACAGAACGAACCCCTAACAGAACGAACCCCTAACAGAACGAACCCCTAACAGAACGAACCCCTAACAGAACGAACCCCTAACAGAACGAACCCCTAACAGAACGAACCCCTAACAGAACGAACCCCTAACAGAACGAACCCCTAACAGAACGAACCCCTAACAGAACGAACCCCTAACAGAACGATCACCTAACAGAACGAACACCTAACAGAACGAACCCCTAACAGAACGAACCCCTAACAGAACGAACCCCTAACAGAACGAACCCCTAACAAAACGAACCCCTAACAAAACGAACCCCTAACAGAACAAGCACCTTACAATGAACCCATCTCACACGGTTTAGTGATTAAAGTTGACATCCAGATATAACTTACATGTATGACATGCATATGACATTCAGCAATTTGCCGCCGCTTTCATAGAGCTAAATGACACATTATCTCTCATCATATCCTTGTGTTGTATCACCTATCAACCCATTGCTCTCTAGTACACCAACCCATTACACCTACCCATTCATAACCCACCAACCCAATCATATTGCACCAACCCATTCCTCATACACCAACCCATTCCTCACACACCAACCCATTCCTCACACAACAACCCATTCCTCATACACCAACCCAATCCTGTCACACCAACCCATTCATAACCCACCAACCCATTCCTGTCACACCAACCCATTCCTGTCACACCAACCCATTCCTGTCACACCAACCCATTCATAACCCACCAACCCATAATGTAATTTCAAAAATCCCCAAGTAAACGGGATATAGATCTAGGAGTGTATAGATCTAGGCAATGAACTATTTAATTAAGACCACCGTGCGTAGATAGGCCTCTAGTGACTTAGTGGAAGGATCGACTAGTGAGATTGATCTGTGTTGAAGGAATGGCCGTCTATAAAGACTTGCCTGTGTTGAAGGAATGCCCGTCTAAGACTTGCCTGTGTTGAAGGAATGGCCGTCTAAGACTTGCCTGTGTTGAAGGCCGTCTAAGACTTGCCTGTGTTGAAGGCCGTCTAAGACTTGCCTGTGTTGAAGGAATGGCCGTCTAAGACTTGCCTGTGTTGAAGGCCGTCTAAGACTTGCCTGTGTTGAAGGCCGTCTAAGACTTGCCTGTGTTGAAGGCCGTCTAAGACTTGCCTGTGTTGAAGGCCGTCTAAGACTTGCCTGTGTTGAAGGCCGTCTAAGACTTGCCTGTGTTGAAGGCCGTCTAAGACTTGCCTGTGTTGAAGGCCGTCTAAGACTTGCCTGTGTTGAAGGCCGTCTAAGACTTGCCTGTGTTGAAGGCCGTCCAAAAGTTGGGGGACAACCAGCCCAGGAAACTGGCATCCTGTCAGGTGATGACTCATACCTGTCACCACTGAGCTGTGTGATTGTGCAGGTAATTGTAACCTGCTTGCCTGTACCTTAACCCTGATAGCATTCAGCCAATCAGATCAGCCGTACCATCGGCCTGAGTGTTTTCATAATCTACTGCTTGAATCGGGCGCTAGATTTACAATGTCAACACAGCATTGGTGGTTTTTATTAAAGGTGGTAAATAAAAGTGGTTTAACAGAACAATAAGAAATGGTGGTTTTCTGTGACTTAGAAGAAAATAACCCACTGAATAGATTGAAAAGAACGTGGTGATATTTGCACCGTGTGACACCAAGTCGACCAACCTAGCTTAGATTACAGATTAGCTTAAGGACTTATTAAAAGAGTTATTGATGTGTAATACCTTGATTCAAACGTAAGGTTTCCCTAATAATGCCAGCTAGCCCCCCCCCCCCTCCCCTAATAATGCCAGCTAGCCCCCCCCCCCCCATGTTGTAGGTATGTGTGTCGTTCAGTAATTGAATCTATCGGCCTGTGACCCGCCTAGGTCACAAATTGACGAATAGAGTCCCAGTGAGGCTAGGCCCTTAGACACGCATCACTGCACACAGATTGAGTGCCGATGTGGGACCGCCCCCCCCCCCCCCCCCCCACTGATTTCATGTAGATCAGTTTCTCCAACCTTACTGGGACCCACAGACAGACCAACCCGGCAATTCTCCAACCTAACTGGGACCCACAGACAGACCAACCCGGCAATTCTCCAACCTAACTGGGACCCACAGACAGACCAACCCGGCAATTCTCCAACCTAACTGGGACCCACAGACAGACCAACCCGGCAATTCTTCATCTCGTGCCACAGCGAGATCTCGCGTGTGTCTGTCTATCCGTGTTTACAGTCGGTGGTTATCTAACCAGTCACGTGGTCTGCCCCGTCACACTCCAGCTGACTGGAGGCGATCATCTTAACGTCATTTACCTGCTAATTAGTGGACCACGTCCTTGTGGCACAACACAGGTGTCAACAGTGGGATTGTACATTATAGGATAGGGATAGCACACTCCCAGGATAGCACTGTTTTAGGATAGCTCAGTTTTCAAATATCACAGCTCTATGATAGCACACTATGAATGAAACAGAGGAAGTTATATGGAAAAATTATAACAGCGATGAGGTAGGTTTAACTCTTGTTTAACTTGTTTAACCCTAACTAGCCGTTACACATAATGATGCTGGTACTCTTAACCCTAGCCGTAAACTTTAGCCTAAACCTAATAGCCTAAATCTTAAACATGACTTCGTTCAAAGCCTTATCACACACAAATCCTAAACATTGACCTCACCTTAACCCTAAACATTGACCTCACCCTAAACATTGACCTCACCCTAAATACTGACCTCACCCTAAATACTGACCTCACCCTAAACACTGACCTCACCCTAAACACTGACCTCACCCTAAACATTGACCTCACCCTAAACATTGACCTCACCCTAAACATTGACCTCACCCTAAACACTGACCTCACCCTAAACACTGACCTCACCCTAAACATTGACCTCACCCTAAACATTCACCTCACTCTAAACATTGACCTCACCCTAAACATTGACCTCACCCTAAACATTGACCTCACCCTAAACATTGACCTCACCCTAAACATTGACCTCACCCTAAACATTGACCTCACCCTAAACACTGACCTTACCCTAAACACTGACCTCACCCTAAACATTGACCTCACCCTAAACATTGACCTCACCCTAAACATTGACCTCACCCTAAACATTGACCTCACCCTAAACACTGACCTCACCCTAACCCTAAACATTAGAAGTATCCTATTCGCCCCATTGTTGGATTACCTTCCCCTGCCCAGGATTACCTGCCCCTGATAGAGTCCCTAACTTAGCCTCGCCTAACACATGCGCTGTGTTGTTTTGTGTTGTGTTGAAAAGGTTTGAAAATTGCGCTTGATCAGATTAAATTTTCCCCTGTCACGTGATAATGTTCAAACTCTTGTGATAAGATTTTTTAAAATCTTTCAATCGGATTGTTTGGGTAGCGTTAGGGCGGCTTAGCTTTCCCTCAGTGTGTGGGGTGGGGGGGGGGGCGGTGTGGGCTAAGTTGTAGGGTCACGTTACCGGCTCTGTGTTAATTATTCCAGCTGATTTAATTGTGTCTCGCGATTAAACGTTCCTTTAGAGGGGGAGGAGGGGGGGTGGGGGGGGGGGCTGGTTTTCTAAAAATAAAACTGTTTTTGTTTAGCTGCTGTAGTGGTGGTGTATGTTGCTGTAGGTGGTGTATGTCGACTAGACCACGATCAGGCTTCCTTGAGTTTTAAACGTTTAGATAAAAGCAAGTTAATAAAAAGTCTAGTGACAATTTAAGCGCAATTTCCTTATGTTATCTAAAAATAGATAGTGATCAAGTTTGTTTTTAAAAAATGTGAAAAAATGATTAGGCCTAGCGAAACAAAACCTTGTAATTGTAACTCCCTATCACTCTCATATAAATTATAACTAAATTAATAGGGTACAAAAATAACGTTTGAATTAATAAGTAAAAATAAACTTATAGCAAGATCTAAAAGATAGCGAAAAATAGATTATTTTGACTCATCCCTTTACCCATAGATCTATATATAATGCTATATAGTACTGTAGTGTATTATGTTCATAACCCGTAGCTCTGTCGTAGCGTAAAGCACACACGGGGACAAAACACAAGACGTATAATGCTGGGGTGCGTTCAAGCTAGGAGAACGATCGGTTTGTTGGTGTTTATGTAATTTTTAAAAAAATGTTGTGACCGAACGAAAGGATATTTTTGAAAACTTTCTTCGGCAATATTGTTCTAAATTATGGCAGGAATCGATTGGTTAATGTTTCAAGTCGCTAAGTGGTCTGGTTGCCGAGATATGGGCCAAAAACTGCATTTTTTCGAGGTTTTCTGGCTTTTCCGGGAAATCCAGGGGGGGGGGGGAATTCCGGGAATTTTTTTTGGCCCACAATCATCCTCGGAACTTGCTTAACATATTTGATTTTGGAACTAGTCCTCGATATTGCTTCGTTGAGGAGGAGATACGACTTAAAGCTGCGGACACACATCCATCCATTGCGGACACACATCCATCCATCCATCCAGAAATAACGAGTTAATAATCGCAATTGTCCGTATGGAAATTGCGCTAAAAATTATTAGAGATCTATAGTTTTCTTTATGTCGTAATGTGTAAAGGGGGACGATTGGTATAGGACAGTAGTAGAATGAGTGGCTGGAACTAGGGTTAGCTGGAGTGTGGGG